GAATATTTCTGTAGCATGGATATCAGACTCACAAGGCAAAATAGGATAATGTAACAGAGATTATAGTGTGTTTCAGGGTTCAAAGGAGGGAGAAATCCTGTCTGGCTGGGCAGAGGGTGTTTGGGGGATGTGAGGAAAGTGAAGCAAAATGAGAGTGAGAAGTGGGGAGAGAAGCTAGGAGCTAGAGAAGCCTCTGACTCTAGCCAGTGCAGCCCATTAATTCCTTCATCAAGTATTTACTGGAAGTCTAGGTCTAGTTCATTGTGCCCCTCTCATCTACGCCGTGAAGCCCAGCACCCTTGCCCTCATCTGCCTTCCTAGAGCATCAGTGGGTGGCCTGTGCCCAGCATTCCTGCCCAGACTATCATGTGTCCTTTCTACCAAGTGTGATTTTCCATCTTGGCCGTGTAGGGCTTGAGGACAGAGGACAGGCCCTCCAAGCTCTCGGGGCAGGCCCATGCCTCTCAGCAAACATTTACTGAATGCTCACCATGTACCTGTAGCTGCATCACATCCTAAAAATTCATCAAAAGGAAAACATAGATTATTGTTGATTTTCTTCTAGTTGCTGTGCACATGCACACCCCTCACCCCGCCCAAAGAAACTGTAAAAATAATAGGCACTATTTTGTGTTCTGCTTTTTCATTGAACAGTGGTTCATACACATTTTTCTCCAGTTGTATCCATGATAAGCTTGAGGTATTTACACAGCCACTGAGGTAGTCAGAAATATAAAACTAAACTATCACATGGAGTGATAGAATTATTTCTTCAGAATTTCCTTTGTAAGGACTGCACTCTTACTAGATATATAGAGTTGAAATTTCCCACTATTTTGCTATTAGAAATAATGTTGCAATAACTATCTGACATTATGTCCTATTTTTCCTCTACTAAATTACTTCTTCAGGGAAAAATATGGTATTGTGGAAAGCACATAGGTTTTAGAGCCAGATAGATTTAGGTTTAAATTCTAGTTCTACATATTAAGAGCTGTGTGACCTTAATCTTGTCAATTTCCCTTCTGTGCCAAGTCATTAATAATACTTCCCACAAGGCATGCTTGTGAGGCTTATTCAGTGCTGATGGGTAAATCAGTTTGGAGCTAGATCTGGACTTCAGGCCCAAACAAGCTCTGCTGCTTAACTTGGATAAGATATTAACCTTTTCTTCTCCATGAAATGGAAATTAAATTGTGTAGTTAATGAGCTTATGGGAAATATTAAACATACACAGCATGTTTAATATAGTGTCTAGTATAAGTAAGGGACCAATAAATGTTAGCTGTTAATATTATCACAATAATCACTGTTATAATATAAAAAGGGGGCACTTAATAAATGCTGGGTGTCCTTTCCACCTCAGTCTCCTACTAATGTGAAAAATCCCAAGAGTTGGATGACTGGGTTAAGGGTAATACATATCTTTAGAGGTCCTGCCATATTCTTCACCCATAGGATCATGTTCAACTTACAAGGCTATGAAAATATGCTGAATCTGTCCATTATACTCCAACCCTTGCCGATAGGGTTTTTTCTGTTACTGTTAAAAGTACGACATGGTGTGCTGGGGTTATTTTGTTACTTCAATTTCCATTTATTGAGGGTGAATGTTCTCATGTTTTGTTTACTGTTTGGGTATCTTCTAGTATGAATGATTTATTTCTATCCTTTGTCTGTCAATTTGCATCTTGGTATTTTTCTTAAAAGACTAAATAAATTCTTTAACACAAATATCTTCCCAGTAAGCTGGAGCCCGAGAAGTCTGACCCGGATAAAGATCAGGGGAGAGTTCTCTGTGCTCAGGAGCACTTCGGTGGGTGGGGCTTTTTCTCCTGCATGGGGAACTCAACTAGTTTCCAGTTAGGAAATAAAATCCATGAAATCAGAAAATGCATCTGTATTTGCACCTTAAACATCCATCTCTGGACACGTCTGGCCCTGCATGACACTGTAGTTCTGTATTTCTAACTATAGGATATGTCTTCTTGGTTGTCTCGTAGGCCCCTCAAGCCTATTGTAGATGTAACTGAAATCATCACTTCGTCTCCAGTCAGCAAAATTTCCAGACTTCCCCTTTGGTCCCTTCTTGCTCTAGCCAAGACTGCTTGAGACTGTTTCTCAATACAGGTATCTCTCATTTTTCAAATGTTCGTGTTAGGCCACTTCACTCTTACAAAGGACCTATATGAGTACCTGTGTTCACTAACTGAAAGCAACTCGAAGAGGATTTTCACTTTCATGAAAAAAGGTGAACAGTGAAAACAGTGATCAGTGTTTGTTTTGCAAGGAGTCCCTGCAGAGGCTGTGCATCCCGAGAAGAGAGAAGAAACACGGCGGCACCGAGCCCCTTCCCTGGGAACCACACTTGGGATTTCATCATCGAACCGCCACGGTTCTGCACTGTGCTTGTGAGCTTCTGTGCTTCTGTTACCAAGATGTATCCCAAGGTATCAGAAATGCCTGGCAAGTTATTTCTTGGGTCTGGGAATGCTAAAAAAAATTTCCATATAAATTAACAGTAATTGCTTCTTTGCTTTATGCCATTTTGGCTTATGAAAGTTTTCATAGGAACACTCTACTTTTGGATAACAAGAGAAACCTGTATAGTTTCTCACAAAAAAAAAGGCCTCCCAGGATCTCTCAGAAAGGCTTGTGGTACTAGCTCCCAAATAACAGTCTTGCATTATTAAGTCATATGTCCTGACTTCTGATTTGGAAAAAATGATAATACCTATTAAGAAAATGAGCAGAAGAGGCAATCAGGTTGACATGAAACTGAAATCAAACCCCTGAGGAGGTTTTGTCATTTTCTCTCCTGTGTGCACGTTACACTTAAGCTCCTTGGCGCCTCCGGTTAAGAGGACGTTTTTCAAGACATAAAAGACCTTTTCTGCATGCTAGAATCTGCTACTAAAACTGATGCATGTGAGCCAGGGAGCAGAACAATCCCAGGGACACTACTGATGGATATTTCATAGTAGGATCCAGGAAATAATCAAGGGAAAAGAAATTACTAGAAATATTTGCCTTGAGCATTTGGCCCAAGTGTCTACTTTCTTTAAATTATTTTTATATTTTAATGACATTTTTTAAATTGTTGGGGCAATTGTTTTTAATAGTTAACAGTATTGATTTGTCTTATGCTTTTTTTCTGTTGAGCCTCCAGTTAGGAAATAAACTCCATGAAATCAGAAAATGTTTCCTAGCCTTCCTTCTAAGGCCTAGTCCAATGGGTTTTACTGCATCTGGGTAGTTCCAGTTCCTCCTAAAATCAGCCAATGCGGTCACCATGAGCTGCTATAGAGGAAACACAGGCAAGCATCAGGTCAAATAAAAAATGTCAAAATTCCCTCGAATTAAAATTAAAATAAATAATAATTACTATTTCTAAGACTTAATTAAGGTCATGAGAAGCCATGCTGATAACATCCTAAATGGATCCTTCCTTAGTCCTGTTACTTCCTAATTCTCCTCTCAATTTCCCCAAATATATATTGGATCACTAAGAAACCCCATCCTTTCCAGATATGAGAAACACTTCCAGATATAAAGCAACCATGGTCTCTTAGTCCTTTTGGAATATGGGTTGATGACAAACTGCATACAGTTCTAAAGTTCTCCTTCCCAAGGCTGGGTGTACCTGTGTATAGTCCAGTACTTACATGTGGGTACATACATGTATGTGGGTGTGGACAAAGTGTGCTTATGGGCACACTTATGCACTGTTGAGGAAATGATGGAGCCTATTTTTCTGAAGGCAGAATATAATGGTGTGAAATACCCATCCTGAAACTTCAAATACTCATTTCTCCCCGCAAGAGCTGTATCTAGTAAGGAAGAGTGAATACAGGGAGGCCTTTGGACCTAGTGTATTCTAATTGCTTCTACAAAGTCCAACTAGGGTTTCCCTGTAAGAAGAGTATCTTTGGAGGGGAGGGGATGGTGCAGTGGGCAGTGGGCTACCTGGAAGAAGGTGGAAACCTGTAACTCACATCACCAAGAAGTTGCTCACAAAGAAAACGGCTTTCTAAATTCCAGTTGGTGCCACACTTTCTGGTCTGAGAGTGATGCCCTGAATGCCTTTCCACAGTCAACTGGAGAAGGCCTTGCAGGGTCTATTCCAGTATTGGTAAGTCTCTTTAATTCATTCCAGGACTTATTCCACATTTCCCCATAAGATAAACAAGGTTAATTTACATCCCAGGCAATTATCTCTTGATTTTACTCTCTGGTATTTATTAACTAATCCCTCACCTACAACAATGCATAGTAAGGTTAAGGGTGAAACCTTACACACCGCCACACGCGCAAGGAGACCCACCCATTCCAGCCACCCTCAGGTCCCAGTCTCAGCCCGGTTCACTCCACACAAGTCGGCAGGTTCCTTGAGCTCCGGCCCCGGGTGGGGACCACTTCTCCGGAAGTGCCATGCCCCGCTCTCCCAGGCCCCGCCGACGGTGGACAGTGTGCTCGGCGAGGGTACACGACCTGCGGGGCCTGTGCCAACATGTGGGCGCCCCCGCGCAGTGCACCCTCCCGCCTGGCCTACGCCCCGCGACCTCCCGGGGGATCCCTGAGCATGCACAGCGCGGCCCTGCAGCCTCCCAGGCAGCCTGGACTCCCTGCGGCGGATCGCCGTGCACGTGTCCCGGCTACAGCCGGGAAGTCCTGCATGACTCACCTGGAGGGGGGCGCCGCAAAGAACTCGCCAGCAGGGGACGGTACCGGCGTCCCCACCCCGCGGGACCCGACACTAGCAGGCCAGCCAGTCTGGGAGGCAGTGTGTGGGAGGAGCAACGACCAGAAGTCCCCAAGGCCCGACGAGAGAACCCCAGCGCAGGCTCCCCTGCGACCCCTCCAGATGGCGGGCGCCCGGAGCAGGGGACAGGTGCCCCGCCGGGGCCCCGCGCCGCCCTCCGCGCTCCCGCTCGGAGCCGGCGCGGACGCGGGGCTGCTACTGCAGCCAAGCCCAGGAAAAGACAGGAAGTGGTCGGTACCTGATCCTGTCCTTCTCTGCCCTCTGTAGCTCCTCATTTCTTTCCAACACCTGAAGGATCTTCCTGGCTTCTTCGTCATTTAAGAAACTGAAATCAAACCCCTGAGGAGCTTTTGTCATTTTCTCTCCCGTGTGCGCGTTACATTTAAGCTCCTTGGCGCCTCCGGTTAAGAGGACATTTTTCAAGACGTAAAAGACCAGTTTCAGGAACTTGATCCCGTGGCCAATACTAAGTCTGCCCCCTTGAAAATCTAAAACCACAAACTTAGGGAACAGCCCACACCTACAGGGCTCATTTTGACAACACCTTAATGACAGTTTTTCTCAGTTTATCCAACCGAGATGCAAAACGAACAGCATAATGGGAGACGGGCAGCCAATCCCATTCCAAAGGGCGGGCCCTTCCGCGTCCCCGCCCCTTCCCTCCCCCACCAATCAGACTTGTGAAACTAGCCATCCCGCGCGATTCTGCCCCCGGAATGGGGCCGCGGCTTAAGGGCTGGCCCCAGCGATTTGTTTTCGCTTAGGCTGTTTGTTCTCATAACTTGACGTGAAAAGGAAAGAGATTCACGACTAATCCCTCTTTTTCAATATAAAGTCCATAGGAAATAGAATTTTGCGTAGGAGCTTTAGAACCGATACAAGAAAGACTGGAAGGGCTGAGATCCTCTCGCGGGCCTGTGGGTGGACCCGGCCCGAGGGCCAAATTTGGATATGAATTATTTGACAAGTTTCCCATCCCTCACGCACCCGAAACCCACTCTCCCCCAAGTCATTCTCACACTTCAGAAAACAAACCAACGAACACAAAACTTTTTATAATATTTTAGGAGAAGAGAGTCTGGGAAAAAGGATGGCAGGAAGCACTGTTTGTAGTTTCCTATAAGATTTGATAGTCTTAATACTGTTTCAGAGAAGTAATAAAAGAGCCACTCTCAAACACCTAATCCTCTGACCAAAGCAAAATGTAATCCTATGAAACCACAGAAACAGCTTCTCCTAGAAAGTGTTAGTCCAATATATGATGGAAATTTCCAGATATATTCATATGTATACTTAAAAAATTATCAAGCCTTTTTCAGAAAACCTGTTGTTTCTTTTGGCTTCACTTCCCGCACAAAAATAATTTTGTTAGATCAACTTTCCTGCCCCATACCCTTAATTCAGTCACTTCTTGTGTAGTGGTGATGATTCCTAATATTTAAAATGTATACTTTTCACTGCAAATAAACCCAATAAAGATTTTGTGTCTATAACAAAAACATGATGTAAAAAATGTCTATTTATCTTTTGGCCTCTGGGTCCTCTATTCACTTTAATCATCATTATTTAAGACATGTCTAGGCAGATGGCCATTCAGATAACTTTCTGTGGATGTCTGTTTGTCATTTCTATAAAGCAGAAAACAATTCAGGTCTCCAATGTTATACAACACACAGAACTCCTTTATAAATAGCCCGTGTTAATGATGGTGGTTTAGGAGTGTGTTTTGTATATGATGTTTCTTTTTTCTACTCATTAATACATTTGGGACTTTTTAGTATGGGCATTGGTATGCTTTTATTCTGGTACATCAGTAAATTGATTTCAAGTATCACATACTGGTGCCTACTATAGGAAGATAGTCCTTGCCTTTAGAAGTGTATAGTACAGTGGGGAGATAACACAAACAGAAAAATGACTATATAACAAAGAAGAACAAAATAGATCTATAAAGAAGGTTCTATTAGAGCACAGATAGAAGTTTGTTCCATCCAAGTGGATCACGGGGAGAACATGGTATTAGGATTGAAATATGAGGGGTCAGATTTCAGCGGGAAGAAATGGAGGGTAGTGGAAAGAGATGTGGGAGTCTATTCCAGGCAAGGGGAGCAGTGCACCAAATAGCAGAAATACACTCTGGGAATCTTCCCATAATCCCTCAACTTCTTCAACTAATGGCCAAAGTGAGCAAAAAAAACTAGAAAGCTGGGACATACAGGGGCATATGCAGGGATTGGTAAGTGATCTATTTTAGCTACAGTATGGATTCTAAATGGGGGTAATAATTGCCCCTAGTGGAGCAAAAATTGGTTCTTAGATGGTAAAAACATACTTTTAAAAGATGAAAAACAGATATACAACTGTATGTAAGCAGATATGCAGTATATCTGTGGCGTTAACATTTCATGAGTGACAATTCAGGAAAAAAAATCCTCTGAAAGGCCCCTTAGAGGGGACAATAATGAAAAAGGTTGAAAAAACCTCTTATTGGCTAGCACATAGGACATGTAAAGAGTCAATTAGGCTGAGACTACTGAGAAGGCCAGGCTAAGGAATCTGGATTCACTGTGAGCACTGAGGAGTCAATACATGTTATGAGGATAACAATGATGCAGGCGAAAGATTATTCTGGCAGAAGCAGATAAGAAAGGGTAGAGTGAGGATGGCAAAAGTAGGTGGCAAGGGCATCATTGTATTGAAATGCTGATGAAGGAGAAAGGGGAAAGAGTTCCTGAATTAGAGCAGAGGAAGTGGCAATAGAAAAGAGGGCTGGAGTCCAAGGATAGTAGCTGCACTTGGTACCTCATTAAATATGAGGGTTAAGGAAGGAATTGCTAAGATGATACAAGGTTTCAAGAGAAGTGTGTGAAAGGAGAGTAGTCTGTTTGGTGGTGGGAGACGCATAAGGTGTAAAATATTAGGAGTTCAATTTTAGACATATAGTGTGAGGTGCCAGCAATTTGTCCACATGGAGACATTCAGCAAAAGTGAGAAATGTGGCACTGGAAATTCTTGAAAGAGGGATAGAGAAATAGATTTTGAAATCATCTGCTTAAGGACGATTGCCAAAATCCTGAGGCTAAATAAGAGAGCAAAATGCAGGCAGAGAGTAGAGGCTGAGTTCAGATCCTTGCACGGCCGCATCAGACATCAGGACCATGGCATGCTTCAGCCTGGAGCTGTGCCACGACTGGTCATAAGGTGAGAACTTTTATACTGAGAAATATGAAACCCATTGGGGGTTGCCCTGGAAAACATACAGGTGGTTTCTGTGGGAATATAAACATGGTGTGTTTAAAGAATTCTTAAAGTGTTGTTTTACGGGCTCATTCAGCCAATTCCAAGCAGCCATTTTCAACCTTAGTATTTGGTAACCCTGGCAACCTCCTGTCTAGCCTCCCAGCTAAAGAGATACTGATCAGTTTGGTTTGCAAAAGCACCAGCTAGATTGATAACAATAATCTTTGGAATCTCCCATAGTTTCCTGTCCCTCCAGTCTGTTGGCCAAGTTTACAGCACAGGGTTTAGTTTAGATTTTTTTTTAGGTTTGTTTGTGTTTTTATTTTATATATATATATGTGTGTATATATATAATATATATATACACACATATATATACTTATTTATTTATTGAAGTATAGTTGGTATACAATCTTCTATTGGTTTCAAGTATACAATACAGTGGTTCAATAGTTATTGTGTTTATTAAGTCCTCACCTCCACTAGTGCAGTTACTATCTGTCAACATAGGAAGATGGTACTAATCACTGACTGTATTCTCCACACTGTACTACCATCCCTGTGACCAACTCATATCATGATTGAGAATCTTTGTGCCCCTCTATTCCCCTCACTCTACCCACTTACCCCAATCCCTTCCCCATGATAACCACCAGTGACTTCTCAGTGTCTATGAGTCTATTGCTATTTTGTTCTTTTGTTATGCTTTATTTTTAGATTCCACAATTAAGTCACAACATATGATGCTTATCTTTCTCTGCCTGGCTTATTTCACTGAGCATAATACCCTCTGGGTCTATTCATGCTGTTGCAAATGGCAGGCTTTCATTCTTTTTTATGGCTGAATATTTACCACAATATAAATTACATATATTTACCACTTCTTTATCTTTTCATCTTTTGATGAGCATTTGGCTATTGTAAATAATGTGGCAATAGACACAGGAGTGCATTTATCTATCTTTTGTTTTCTTTGGATAATTTCTGGAAGTGGAATTACTGTGTTTAATGGTATTTCTATTTTTAATTTTTTGAGGAATCTCCATACTGCTTTTCACAGTGGCTGCATCAACTGACATTCCCACCAATAGTGTAAGAGGGTTTCCTTTTCTCTACATCCTCAGCAACTCTTATAATTTCTTGTCTTTTAGATCATGGCCATTCTGATTGGTGTGAGGTGATATCTCTTTGTGGTTTTGCATTTCCCTGATGAATAAATAGTGATGTGAAATGTCTTTTCATGTGTCTGTTGGCCATCTATATTTCTTCTTTGGAAAAATGTATTCCATGTTCTCCATCCATTTTTTAATTGGGATTTTTGTTTTTTTGGTGTTGAGCTGTATGAGTTTTTTATATATTTTGGATGTTAACCCCTTATCAGATGAGTCATTTATGAAAATATTCTTCCATACTGTAGTAGTGTAGGTTGCCTTTTTCTTCTGCTGATGGTGTCCTTTACTATACATAAGCTTTTAGTTTTATGCAGTTCCACTTGTTCATTTTTTATTTGTTTCCCTTGCCCAAGGAGTTGTGTCCAGAAAAACATTTCCATCTATAGAAATCCCTTTAACATATCCTGTAAGGCCCATTTTGTGGTAGGAAACTTTTAATCTCTCCATCAATCTTGAATGATAACCTTGTAAGGTAGAAGATTCTTTGTTGAACATCCTTCTGTTTCAATACATTAAATATTTTATGCCACTCCCTTCTGGCCTATAAAGTTTCTGCTGAGAAGCCAGCTAATAGCTTGATGGGGTTTTCCTTATAAGAAATTTTTTGCCTCTCTCTCTAACTGCTTTCATTACCCTCTATTATTCCTTAATCTTTGTATAATATGTCTTGGTGTTGTCTTTCTTGTTGTCTGGGGTTTCTTTTGCTAGGGGCTCTCTGCTCTTCCAGGACCTGGGTGTCTATTTCCTTCCCCAGACTGGGGAAGTTTTCAACGATTATTTCTTCAAAGAGACATTCTACCCCTTTGTCTCTTCTTCTGGTACCCCTATTATGAGAATATTGTTTCATTTGGAGTTGTTATACAGCTCTCTTAGCATCCTCTCATTTCTAGAGGTTCTTTTTCTCTCTGTTCCTCATCTTCAATGTGTTTCTGTTCTCTAATTTTCACCTCATTGATTGTGTCCTCTACTTGCAGCAATCTATTATTCATTCCCTCCGTTGTATATTTCACTTCAGTTATTGTATTCTTCAGCTCTTAGTGTCTCTTTTTAGCTCTTCTGTCTCTTTGTTGAAGTCCTCCCTGATCTCTTCAATGCTTTTCTGCAGATCAGTGAGCACATTTATGACTGTTATTTTGAAATCTTTATCAAGAAGA